TTTTGGGTGCTGTTCCCAAGCCACCAGCCCCCCTAGGCACATTAGAGCTCCAATCAAATGCTACCAATGCGGCCAAATGGGCCACCATGCTGTGGAGTCAGTGGTGGGATTCAGCCAGTTCACACCAGTTCGGCAGAACCGGTAGCTAATTTTTTGTTGCCCAGGCCCAGAACGGACTTCTGGAAGCGGCATCCACATAGAGAACCGGTTGTTCATATATTTGAATCCCACCACTGTGTGGAGTGCCACCATCCAACCCCCAGGCCAGAAGCACACCGGCTGCATCCATTAAGCCATGAAAAGCCCCCAGGGAGGAAGGGATCCAATGGTAAGTCAACCCATCCCACCTTTTGCCATCCCTGCCAATAGTACCCAAAACCAGGGCCCAAATGGACTTAAATGTGTTAATAGACTCAGGTTGCACCAGTGCCTAATTAATTTACCCACAGTGCTCAAGCTGGGGATTCGAGCAAAGCTATTACCTCTAGCTACAAGATTTGAACAAGATGACTGGTCCCTAATTGGCGATGCACCTGCCACACACCTGACAGAACCAGTGCGGTTGGAAATGGGCCGGCACTGGGAAATCGTTTGTTTTGTGGTGGTTCCAAAAATGACTGAAGCTGTAATTTTGGGTCTGGTCTGGCTCTACAAGTGGCACCCGACCATCTGGTGGGAGAATGGAGTAAGGAATTTAAGATTGTGGGTGGGTCCCTTCCCCCTGCCACCCCTCGTGATACAAAGGACGATACCATAAATGAGGCTCAGGAAGAACACCCTGAAACACTAAAGGCTGTTGTAGAGAAGCTGCCTGGAATCCAGCTTGTCTCAACCAAATACTTCAATTTAGCTGAAGCTTTTAGTGAGAAAGAATGTGACGTCCTCCCCCCTCACTAGGCTACAGACTGTGCCATCAAAATCTTACCCGGGGCCAATTTCCCAAAGCCAAGAATGTACTCAATGATGCCCAGAGAAATGAAAGAGTTAAGGGAGTACATTGATAAGAACCTGGCCCGGGGCTTCATCCAACCAGTAAAATCTTGTGTAGCAGCCCCTGTATTGTTCAAAGAAAAGATGGGTTGCTGAGATTATGTGTAGATTTAAAAGATTGAACGCTGTCAGCCTAGAGAACATGTACCCCCTCCCCTTAATGAAGGACATGTTAGCCCACCTGGCAAAGGAAGGGGACGAATGGAAAACCACCTTCAATTACTCCCTGAGAAGCTTCCAATTTAAAGTGATGCCTTTTGGACTACAAGGAGCTCCTGCTGTATTTATGCAGCTAATCAACCAAGTGCTCCATGGTCATCTGTATAAGGGATTTTTGGTTTATCTTGGTGACATTCTCATTTACACTGAGACTATGGAAGAGCACATTAAATTGGTCTGTGAAGTGCTGAGGAAACTGAAGGCTAAACTGTATGCAAAGCTTTCTAAATGTGAGTTTCACCAGACATGCCTTGAGTATCTAGGGTACCGAATTTCAAATAAGTGGATATAAATGGATCTTGCAAAAGTGAAAGCTGTATTGGAATGGCAACCCCTTCACACCCATAAAGCTTTCTGGGATTTGCTAACTTTTACCGCCAATTTATTCCCCTCTTAGGGAATGCGCAGATGTTGTGTTCTTGTGTTCTCACAGATATTTTCAATCTCTCATTGCAGCAGGCAGTGGTCCCATCGGGTTTTAAGATGGCCATCATTTTGCCAGTGCCAAAAACCTCCACAATTACAAGCCTCAATGATTACCATCCATTTGCACTGACATCCATCATTATGAAATGTTTTGAGAAGCTGATAAAGGACATTACTGTATCTAGCCTCCCGCCAGCATCTGACCCACTTCAGTTTGCTTACTGACCAAATCACTCTATGGAGGATGCTATTTCTCCATCTGAGCTTGAAGCACTTAGAGCAGTGGTGGTGAACCTATGGTACATGTGCCAAAGGCGGCACTCGGAGCCCTCTCTGTGGGCACGCATGCCATTGCCCCAGCCCCACCTCCCCCCACAGCCCCCTCCTCACCAGCAGCCCCTCCGGAGGAGAGTCTCCCCCAGGCACAGCCCACGCAGAGCAGCGCAGCCAAGGACATGGCAGCCGGGCAATAGGGACAAGACTCCACCCTTGCGCCCCGTCGCGTACAGATGATGCTGCGGGGTGAGGGCATAGGGTGTGGCTGCCATGGCACTGCAAGGCCGCCTGGGCGATCTGCTGCAGCGGGCCATGGAGGGGGTGAGTGGCCCTGCAGATGGGTGGGGCAGGGGCGGAGGGCGGGCTGGGGAGATTTTTGGCCACTCGGTCTCTAAAAGGTTCGCCATCACTGACTTAGAGGAAAGAAATACTCGCGTGTTTGTTGTTTGTCAACTTCGGCATTTAACACAATCATTCCCTAGCATCTAGTAGAGTCTTTTAGGCTTAAACACTCTTTCGTGCAACTGGATTCTTGATTTTCTTACTAACAGGCCCCAATATGTGCGAGCTGGAACAAATATTTCTAACACCATTTTCTTGCGTATAGATTCTCCTCAGGTTGCGCCCTAAGTCCGCTGCTGTTCACCCTGTTGACTCATGACTGTTGTGCTAGGTTTGCCATCCGCTTGACATTCAAGAAACTAAAAAGACTCTTTGCAGCCGAACCTGTTCTCAAGCACCCTAATCCTAAAAAGCAATTCGTCATTCAAGCCAATGCAAGTGACATGGCTGTGGGTGCTGTTCTCTTACAAAAAAATGACTGGGGGAAGTTACAATCCTGTGTTTACACTTCCCAGAAGCTAACCAACACGGAGAGGAGTTAGGCCATTTGGGAGAAGGAGGCTTTTGCAGTACGATGGGCATTACTAACTTAGCATCATTTTTGGAAGGGGGGAGATACATTTTGAAGTATGGACTGATCATAAAAATTTGGAAGCTCTGAACCCCCCCCCCCAAATTATCCCCAAAACAGGTCTGGTGGGCTCAATACTTCAACCATTTTAACTTCACCCTAAAGTATTTCCCAGGGGGTAAGAATTTTTTGGCTGACACCTTGTCTAGAATGCCCCAGTTCAAAAGTCACTGGGAGGAAGTAATCAACTCCATTATTCCCCTGCTGCAATCTGCTTCTCAAATAACAACTAGATCGCAAACACAAGAACCACCTGCTGGTCTTGACGATTGCTTACTGAAGGAACTTATGGAACAATTAGAGACTGACACCTGGTTCAAAGACAACAACTCTATTTTAACCCTTAGGGGAGGATTAGCCTGGAAAGGCTCTAAGTTATACCTCCCAGATGGCTTCAGACTCTAAGCCCTTCAGCAAGAGTCATGATGCAAAGTAGGTGGGTCATTTTGCATTCCTGAAAACATTGCATTTAGTGCAGAGGCAATTCTGGTGGTCAGGGATGAAAAGAGACGTTGAGAGTTATGTGAGGTGCTGTGCTACCTGCGCTACAATGAAAAGATGTCCTGGGAAGCCCCATAATATGGACTGTAATTGAGCTATTTTCTAAACAAGCGTATTTCATCCCTTGCTCAGGACTTCCCTCTGCCCAGAAGCTAACCAAGATGTTTTTGAAACACATATATCGGCTCCATTGAGCCCCAAAGTGGATTATTTCTGACAAGGGGATCCAGGTTACTGCAAAGTTCTGGAGAGAGTTCGTTAAACCGATTGGGTCAACTCAGGGGCTTTCGTCGGCTTTTCATCCAAGTACAAATGGAGTGGCTGAAAAAGCTAACGCAATGGTGGAACAGTACCTCAGATGCTACATTAATTACCAGCAGACTAATTGGGCTGACCTCCTGCCTTTCGCAGAGGTAGCCTACAACAATACTGTGCACAATAGCACTGGACTCACCCCATTTAAAATAGTAACGGGTCGAGATTTTGTACCTATGCTTGAGTACCCCCAGGAGCCTCCTACTTCCCAGACTTTGGATCAATGGGTGACATCTTTCTAGGAGGTTTGGGTGAATGTGAAGAAAGCATTGACCAAGGCTACCAAAGTTTACAAGGAGCAGGCAGACAAATGACATTCCCTCAAATCCCTTTTTATGTTGGGCAATTGGTTTATCTTTCAATGAAATATTTAAGGTTAAAGTTACCTAGTGGAAAATTGGGGGCAAAGTTCCTTCGTCCTTTTCCCATCACAAAAATCATAAAACCTGTTACAGTGGAATTGAAACTTCCACGACTGTTGGGAAAAGTCCACCCTGTGTTTCATTGTAGTCTGTTGAAACACCTATTCCAAAGAAGCCGCCGGGTCCAGTAGTGGTAGAGGGGGAGACACATTATGAAATAAAATGAATTCTTGATTCTAGGTTGTACAAGGGAAAGTTACAGTACCAATGTGAAAGTGGACAGGTTAATAAAACAATTTTATGATAAATATCCTCTCAAGCCTCAAGGAAAAGCTTAACCTACTTTTTGTTTCCCCTACAGGAGACTCTTTCTTTTTGAGAGGGGCCGACTGTCTACTCTACAAATGAGCATGGCTGCAGCAATTTTTTCTTCTCATTCTAGGTTGCCACATAGAACAGAGGGAGGGGGTTGCCCAGGTGCTTCATTAATCAAAATAATCTTCTGTCCCATGGGAACCAAGGTCATCGGCTGCTCCCAAGACTCGGAACTGGGCATTGCATAAAAAGCCCGCCAAATAATCATATTAGGGAACATAGTTGCTTGCATAGTTTTTTTAAGTGGGACATTTAACTTTGTATTGGGAAATTGTTACTTGTGTATTCAGACTTGGTTTCACTTTTGACCGTGCCAATACTTTGTAACTAATAAACCTGTTCTTTGAGGAATTCTCAAGCCTTGCAGTTCTGCTTTATTCATCTCTGTTGGAACCATGATATAATTATTTTCATATATCTCAATATTTCACCATATAATTTACTGCATTTTCTGGATATGATCTGCACACTGAATTTGTAGAATAATAATTAAACCAAACTACTGTTATAAAAAAGAGAATAACAAGTTAACAATAGTCAATATATGAAATGATGCTTCATACCTTCACCATTGGAAGAGTGTCATTTAATATAGTTAGTGAATCCATGAGCAACGGTGAACGGTCCAACCACTCCTGTGCTTTTTGTGTTAAATCAGCCATCAGTTTCAATGTTGAATTGGACTTATAGAATTGAAACAAACAAATCAAACATTAATATATTTTGTAGGTAGGCAAAGAAGTTATTTTAAAGATTAAAGCTTTTAGCACAAAGTTTTGTTTTCATGTTATCATAAAAGCAAGGGACTATTGCTAATAAGATAACAATAGCTCCGAAGACAAATGTGCTACTATAAATGTTCCTAATTTAAAACTTAGAAAATTTAGTTTATTCCCCAATTAAGTTCCTCTCTCATTTCATTTAAAAGCAATCTCTGAGTTGCTGCTTTTGTAAAACCCACCAAGTTACATATTCTAGAAACTAATAGAATTTTTCACCAATCAGGTCTTCAAAACAGTTTCTGCTAATTTATCAAGAATATTCTAATAATAGTGAATTGTTAATTTTATTTAATATGGCATTACCTTTTCCATGATTGCACGTGTTTCAGGAGTATCTGGAGAATACAAAATCTGCCCACGCAACATGGGCTTTAAGAAAGACCAAATTAAAGCTCCAGAAGGTGTCTTAACTAAGTCCAGAAACAATGATAAGCAGAATGGTGCTACGGAAGAGACAAGAAAAATATTAGACCAACCAACTGAAGCATACCTAATTCAGTGAAATACACTGGTCTGTTAGGATCCTGATGAATCCTCTCATAACCTTGTGGTTATGATGTAATTCTTTTGACAAAACTACCCTCCTCAAAGATCTCCATTTGCTTAACTCAGCCAGAAAGACTTAATGTTTAGGAAAAGTCTTTCTGTTAAGATTAAATGAAAATTTGGAAGGACTACCTGCCAGTACATTGTCAGTTTTTCCTTGCATCTATATAGCATTTTGCTGTGCCAAAGACTGCTCTCACAGTCATGCAAAACTATCACAGTGAGTGAGACTATTAGCCCATCAAAGTCAGTGTGACAGCAAAGTTCTCCATGGTCATAGTGATAGATTTAATTCTGCTTCCTACTTGAAGCTCTTTTCATTCCACTGGACTGTCTTTATATATCCAAGTAGGAGTAAGCCACAAAACAAGGGTTAATTTTTATTTCAGTGTTCTTAATGAAATCTTGTCCACATAATTATTTTTAAACAAGAAAAAAACACAGCACAATTTTAATATTAATTATGAAGTTAGAATAATATTTGAACTGACATTTTTATCCTACATTGTAGGAGTTTGGAAAATGTTAGGAAGTTATAAAGTCTTTGCAAATTAATTATATTGAAAAAAGGATCCTGATATCTTTGCTGTATTTTACAGCAATCCACAGAATGATAAGATCTAATAAATAAGAAGAGAACTTGGTTTTGTGTAGTTTTAATTGTGCTGATTATATTGTGATGTTGAAAACAATATAATGAAGTAAAATGGAATTATCCCACACTCTCACTAACATTGTTTCTGCTTGGTTACACTGAAAGGATCCCATTAGATTTTGCTTCAACAGCCAAACTTACTAGTATCAGATGGAATACTATATTTCTTCATAATATGTTGAATATGTTCATCTTCATCTGCAGAAGGATGGTGAACATTCTGCTCCTCAAAATCAGGTAGCAGAGATTCAAAAAACAAGGGAGTGATTTCATGGTTGCAGAAAGTTTTGGATATAGTTTTCAACATTCTGCTATTTATTGTTAGATTGCTAGCCTCAAACAAAGCCTGTGAAAATAAACAGACAACACAATGATAGAAAAGAAAGCAAGTCAAAGGTGGTGATTAATTAATTGAACCTTGGAATGGGTTTCTAACTGAGATCCAGAGAACTCCCTAATGTCATTCAGAAAGGCATTATAATCTGGCCGTTTCCCCAGGCTCCTTAATGTAGGATGGATGGAATCCCTTGTTAGATGTGTTTATCATATGTGCATATTTTGATGCTAGTGGTACTGATTTTCCATTTTATTTATTTCCTTTATTGTATTTTTTCATTTATCTATTTATATTTGTCATTTACACTATGGGTCACTAAGAGTCAGTTGGGAGTCATGCAGTACCAAGGTAAAAATAAATAGAGACATTAAGATTTACTTAGAATACAATACTTATATGGTATCTTCTAACATTGGAAGCCAAAATGGGTTGAAAATGGAAATTCACATAAAAATGACTTTGAATCAAATCCTAATCTATTACACAAAGGATATATATGGATAAAGAATACAAGAATAACAGAGCAAGTTCTATAATGAAATAATAGATAATTTTTTAATAAATGTAACCAAGACAGGATAAAATATTTCAGTGAAAATGCACTAAGTACCACTGGGGTAAATCTTTATAAATATAAAATTAAGTATTATCTTGTAAAGTGTCCTCTATATTCAGTTACACAAGGCATTCTTACTGAATCCCCCACTTAAGATAACAACTGTTCATCCTAATAAGTTGTGTCAATTTATCACTATCAAAATAACTGTCTTGTGAACAGTCATTTTGCACAATGTAATTTTCACAGTTGACTGGCTTTGCATTTCATCTTTTTCTTATATTGTTATTTTACAACAATTACCTTCTGCTAAACAGAATAACTGTTCATATGTCAGACAAAATTGATTTTATCCCATAGGACATTATGCCACAATAACTATGTCAGCTGTTAAAATGCTAAAAAAAGTTAGTTATTTCCTGCTCCTTTCAATGGAAAAAGTTATATTTATTTGATGGTATATATTATTACAAACTCTATACTACTATTTTTGGAAAAGTCATCATTGTATTATAAAAATACAAAGCTGAAAACATTGCAACAAATGCCTAAATCATTGCAACTCACTGTGAAACCAGCAGCCTTTATAGAAGTTTCAAAATTGGCAACATGAAAATAAGAATGCTGTAGTGCAAACCACGCCCCTTTTGTGCACATGTCAGTGTTGCATGCATGTTCAAAAGGAGTAAGTTTGTATTGTGGCACTCCATCCAACATCTTGCTGATTTTGACACACAAACCCCCACTCTATGAAACTACCAAAAACTGAAATAATAAAATATAATATGTTAAATGTACTGCAATTTCAAATTAAAGGGAGAGCTAACAAGAATTTGGCAGCAGACTTTAACAGGCACAGAAAACAAGAGAGGAAATGGAATGATGAACTGTTTCAGTTAATGATAATCAGAATTACAATTAATCAAAAACCAACTATTCTTAATCCTTTGTTTTGTTAAGGGAACTGCTTTAGTAAGATCACATTTGGAATACTCCATTCAATTTTGGTCACCACAAAACAAAATAGATGTTGAGATTCTAGAAACAGTACAGAGAAGAGCGAGCAACAAAGATGATTAGGGTCTGGAGCCTAAAATATGCTGAACGATTTTAGGAACTGGATATGTCTAATCTAATAAAGAGAAGGACTAGGGTTGACATGATAGCAGTCTTCCAATATTTGAGAGACTGTTATAGAGAAGAGGGGGGTCGACCTACTCTCCAAAGCACCTGAAGGCAGAATAAGAACCAATGGGTGGAAACTTATCAAGGAAAGATCCAACCTAGAACTAAGGAGAAACAATTAACATTTGTTAAAAATAAACAATTAACAGCCTGCCTTCAGAAGTTGTGGCTGCTCCATCACTATAGGTTTTAAAGAAGAGATTGGACAACCATTTGACTGGAATTATATAGAATCCCCTGCTTGTGCAGGGGTTGGACTAGAAAACCTCCAAGTCCCTTCCAACTCTGTTATTCTGTTCTGTAATACTAGATATTGGCATAGATTTGTCAATAGCCTATTTTACCAGACCAGACTTCAGTTTGTTTGTTTTTCTGAATCAACTTTCTTGCTCAATATTCTATGGAAATGCTGTATAGATATAATACTCAGAAATAAAAACAAAAATACGACTCTTGGGAATATTCATTACAAAATAAAGCGACCACCAAGAGAAATCTATAAAAACATATAGAGTTTAATCCGCCAAACTTTTGTCAAGTGCACTTGACATCATCAGGGCTAAAAAGGCAACCGCTCTGTCAACCTGACAGAGCGGAGGCGGCCCGCTGAGAGAGAAGTAGAGCGGGGGCACCCCGCGAGAGAGACGGAGCCGAGGTGCCTTACGAGAAGGACGGCACTAAAGTGCCTCACCAACCATACAAGATTAGCAGTGGGGGAGGGAGGGAGAGGGAGGGGAATGGAAACAAAAAGGAGAAAGAACGACCTACGCCGGGGCGCAGGGAGAACGGACACCGTGCATGTAAGAATTCAGGAAACAACTTACATTCCCCCCCACCTCTCAGAGACAGACGCACGTATAGCAGCGGGGGAGCCGTATGTAGAGAAAGCAAGAATGCTTCACCATCGAATCTGCCTAACACCCTGATGACGAATGTAATACCACTCGAAGGGATGCAAGCTCAGGGAGAGGAGCCGAACATCAAAGCAGGCAGCGCGCTCGAAGTGCGGCAGGATCAGCTGGGGCCNGTCACGCGCTCCAGGAGCCGGAAGCAGGCGTTGAATGGCTGTATATAAGTCTTTACCGGCATTTGCCTTTTTAGCCCTGATGATGTCAAGTGCACTTGACGAAAGCTTGGCGGATTAAACTCTATATGTTTTTATAGATTTCTCTTGGTGGTCGCTTTATTTTGTAAAGATATAATACTGTATATCTTGATTTCAACAAAGCATTTCACAAAGTACTAACATGATTCTGATTTGAAAGCTTGTTAAAGTATAGGCCAGACTGCTGCTTTGAAAACAGCAAGTACTCATCAAAATGGAAGCGGCACTGGGTGCTACAAGTTTCATTCCCAAGACTTCTACTTTTTAGTATTTTTATTAATTTTGATGAGGAGGTGGAGGAAATTTGCAGATGACTTAAATTGGGTGGGAGAACTAATGTCTTGGAAGACAGAAACTAAATTTTAAACAAAATGAGCCAAAAATAACAAAATGAAATTTTAGAGATAAATGCCAAGCTCATCATTTAAGTAATAGAAGGCACAAGTAAAATGTAAGAAATGCTTAGAGGGCAACAGAACCTGTGCAAAATATCTTGGAATTATTGATCATTACAAAACTTTGATATGATGCAATTGAAGTAGCATTATGATGTGTGACTGCAGAAAAGGCAAATATGGATGTATTCTTCAAGAGAATAATCTGTATATCATTAAAATTCTTATATTTGTAACCATTAAGTGGGTGAAACAATGCATCACAGGGTAACAGTTTTTGAACCAAGGTACCTCAAAATGGAGTAACTTACAAAATGCATCCAAAATTTGGAACCTATGACTCCCATGGAATTGAAATTTGGCAAATTTTTGGTTGCTTCAAGGCTACCACAGACACATTTATGTTTAGTAGACCAGTCTTGCTCTAGCCCTCTAGAAGCTGAGTAGACTAGACCCTCCATTGGCTACTGGTCCCACCCTAGCCATCCAGAGGTCAAGTGAAGTCTTCCCACTATCAGCTGCCAGAGGATGATAACAGGCACCAAGAATCAAGAAAGACACGTGGAGTTACTTCTGAACAGTTTTTTTCCCTTCACTTAGAGACAAAAATCTTGCCAAACTAAAGCAACTACTTATTTATTTATTAAATTTAGATACTGCCCATCTTGCTTAGAAGTGACTCTAGGCAGTGGTGGGATTCAGCCGGTTCGCACCACTTCGGTAGAACCAGTAAAAAAAAAAAAATCTCACCACTGACTCTAGGTGGCTTACAGACAGAGTAATGTAATAAATAAGACAGACAAATAAATAAGACAAACAAATAAGACAGGATAAAATAAAATGTAAATAAAAAGAAGCAAAAATTGTCAATATTTCTTCTCTCAAATGCTGAAATTTATTTGTTCTCCTTCACGAACTACCCCCCGAGATCCGGATGATTCCGGATCTCCTTACTTTCCGCCGCGCCCTCAAGACATGGCTTTTCCAGCAAGCGGGCCTGACCTAGGGAGGATTTTAGGTAGGGATGATTTTAAAAGTAATTTTAATCGGAAACACAGCTGGCAATATTTGGTTTTTAATTCGGCTTTTATTGGGGTTTGTATTTTTGTATTTCTGTATTTTTGTATTTTGTGTATGGTATTTGTTTTTTAATATGCTGTGAACCGCCCTGAGTCCTATGGGAGAAGGGCGGTATACAAATTAAATTAACATAACATAACACTGTGACATTGCGGCTTCTAATCTCCTAATAAGAATCCTTCCCATAATATGTTGCAACTGATAATTTGACTTCTATGCAAATCATACACTTTCTAGACTTCTGATATTTTTCTTTATATATATATAATTCTAGCTTCTAAGAATTAACACTTTTTAAAACAAACCTTAGAAAGTGGTGCATGTCTTGTCATCCTCAGCTTTTTCAGGGAATGAATTGCATCTAAGAGTGGATGAACATTGGATATAAGCTGCATCCTCAAGTGATCCATGTTTTTCAGAAGTTCTAATGCCTTATCCACAGGAATTTGAAATTCTTTAGGGAAAACCATCTAGAAAAGCCCACAAAGAGCAACATCATAATCCAAACTAAACATATGTGTGATATATTTTATTCAACTGATACCAAATAAAGCATTTAAAGTTTAATTAATTCTCTTGCTCAAATCACAATATATTTAGACCTTCTTTGACTGAATTGGGCTTCAAAGATTATATACCTAAAGGCCACATTCTCAAAAGATCAAAGTTCATATATTTGAGGGAGAGAATGGAACTATGGAAAGCAGTCTATTTTCTGCTAAGTTCAATAAGAATTGTTATTATTCTAGTATTCTCCAGTCCATGCAACGTTCATCACGCTTCACTCTGCTGCATCCTTTAAAATCAGTATTTCAGTATTAGTATCATTTGTTAGTTCCACAACTTACCATTCCTGGCTCTACCCCTTGCCAAGAAGTCAGTAATTATAGTACAGTATTCATAATTTCAAGGTTCTACTTGCTGAATTTAAGGACATGAATTTTGGAGATCTTATTAGTCTATTACTATGTGGAGGCATCCTCGTGAATCAAATAATATTACGTTACAACTGAACAAATGGCTAATGTCTTTTCAGATTTCTTATCTGGTAAGTAATAATATCCCTTTTGAATAAATCCACCCTGTCTGTGAAACACAGTATGTTTAGATTTTGCACTGAGATTTAGGGATGTTAATTTGAGCATTGCATACTGCTGGATAAATACAATCTCTACTTAAATTTTCAATTTAAATATTCATATCTCCAAATATTTCAATGAATTCTATAGAATCACTCATTTAAATACAAGTAGTCCTTTAGTTACGAGTGTAATGGAACCTGCACATTTCACTCTTAACTCAGAAAACTCGTGGGAATGAATCTCGTACCTCGAACGAGATCATTCCCTTGCTCATTAAAATGCACGCAGCTCATTAAGTGCACATGAAGTATCTCAGGGTGGGGAAGGCCATGGGGGGCCTAGAGATGGAACAGGCCCCCAAGGCCTCCCCAGCCCAGTAATATACCTCATGCTTCCCCCTCCCTTCTTGCTGCACTGGACTCACTTACCTTGAAAATATCTGTCTCTTCTCTGCTGCGGTTCCTGCTTTTGAGGGACAGGGGAGTCGATGGAAGCCCCTGGGTTCCATAATATCGCGTGAGTTCAGGCACCGATCCTCTTTCACAGAGAATGGGTGCCTGAATTCTCATGCTGTTTGCAGTGCCTGCCTCCTGCTTCCCCTCAACTCTGGAGCCATGAGGCTGCTGCCTCTGGAACAGAGATCAGGGGAGGCTTCTGCATGCCTCTGGAGCAGTGTTTCTCAACCTTGACAATTTTAAGGCATGTGGACTTCAACTCCCAGAATTCCACAGCCAGCATTGCTGGCTGTGGAATTCTGGGAGTTGAAGTCCACATGCCTTAAAATTGTCAAGGTTGAGAAACACTGCTCTGGAGGTTGGATCCAGGCCTCAGAGGACTGCTCCAAGCTGCTGCTGCCCAGAACAGAGCTTCCAGAGGTTGGATCCAGGCCTCAGAGGGGTCCTCCAAGCCGTTTGTGCCTGGAACAGAGATTGGGGGGTGATTCTGCATGCCTCCGGAGGTTGGATCCAGCCCTCAGAGGGATCCTCCAAGCTGCTGCCGTCCAGAACGGAGCTTCCGAAGGTTGGATCCTGGCCTTAGAAGGATCCTCCAAGCCTTTTACACCCAGAACGAAGATCGGAGAGGGGCTTCTGCATGCCTCCGGAGGTTAGATCCAGGCCTTGTAAGCTCCGTTCCGGGCGGCAGCAGCTTGGAGCAGTCCTACGAGGCCTGGATCCAACCTCTGGATCCAGAGGCATGCAGAAAACCCCTCCATCTCTGTTCCAGGCACAAACAGCTTGGAGGATGCCTCCAAGGCCTGGATCCAACCTCTGGAGGCATGCAGAAGCCTCCCCCAGCCTCTGTTCCAGGTGGCTAGGAGAAGGCCTCTGAGGCTTCGGGGACAATGGAGTCACTTTCTCCCCCAGTGTGGCGAGCTCTGGTGGGCTGGATGTGGGTGCAAGTGGCCTGGCTTTCTCCCTCAGTTGAAGGCTTCAGGCCTGCCCTCAGGCTGAAAGGAGTTGGGGGTAGGAGCAGGAGACAGGCACCTTTCACATAGAGAATGAAAGTTTCTGAGATCAGTGATTTGGCACAACTTCAAACACTCGCGCGAGATCACAGACTCCAGATCCATGGATTCTCGGTGTGAAAAGCATTTGCAAGCTGACTCTCCTCTCCCTCAAAGGGAAAGAAACTGTGGCAAAGAGGATTTTCACAAGGTAAGTGAGTCCAGTGCAGCAGGAAGGGAGGGGGAAGCAGTTGTGAGGAGTGGGGGGAATAGGGTGAATGTTGCAATGCCACTGAAGTCGCTCGTAAGGGTGAACAATTGCAATGCTGCTGCAATATTTGTAATTTTGGAACTTGCTCATAAATACTAGGGAGCACTGATCATGTAACTTTGAACGAGCCTTAAGCTCATAACTCGGGGATTACCTGTATCTTCTACAAAGGAGTATATATACTGTCCAATTATAGTCTTGGAAGCACAGCAATAATTAATAGTGACAATAGTTACACTAAGACTTTGAGCAAAATCATAAACTAAATTTATTTAGGATATTCTTTTTAAATGATTTTTTGAAATACATTACAGTTGTTTTTCTATTATTCTTATTTCCCTGGAAGATAAAAAAAAAAATCAGAAAACCCCCCACCTCCATAGAGTCTCAGTTCATTCTTTCAGGAATTGCTTCAGAGATGAAGTGAAGAGATTTAACTCTTCCATTCACTACCAAAGCAATCACTGAAGAGAAATAAGCTTGGAGGCAGCACCTCATACTACTATGTCCCCATCTTTTAAAATCTTCAGTGGTAAAATGTAGTTAACTTCTTCATTTGTTGCATACCTCTGCTCAGGTAGATGAAGGGAAATCAGTGCCAGCATATAGAAGAATGAGGGAATTAAGCATAGTCCTCCTTAGTCAAACCCTGCTCCTGATGACTACAAGGACATATCCATAAGATTTTTTTAAGCAAAATATGGAAATGATTCGCCACTGCCTTCTTTCAACATGTTTTCTCAACTTCTCAGTCTAGCTAATAGCTCTGAGATTTCCCAATGACCTCTCAGGGAAGTCTTCATCAGATTTAAATCAGTCTAACTTATTGTGATTAGTCAAAGTCCACTAGGTGTTGCCACCTGCAACAGCATAAGAGGGAAAATCCAGGCTTAAATAGGCTTAATAGAATCCTTTTAAAGCAAAATGCATTTGTATGTGTGTAAGAGTGTGACATTGAGGCCACTTTATGTATTTCATAAGTATAAATAGTCTGCTTTCTTCCCTCTGCTATATGAAACATACATATTTTGCTAATGATCATATAAAGAAATACTATGTATGTTCATGTATTATAAATGCTACTATTATTAACACCTTACTTTTCACTTATAGATCTCAGCAGTTTATATGAGTTGTGCTCCATAATTCTGTCTGGTATCTATGTATTGGAAAGTATCCTCATCTACGCCAGTTCCTTCCTTCCAAATAAACATGCTAAAGAGTCATCTCTACTCGTATTCATAATATTTTAGTTTCAATCATGTTGGACCACAAAGTTTCCCAAGTCATATCTGGTCCCATTAAATTGATGTATCCACCACCCATTAAAATGGACTGTTTATCCTGTGGATTTTTTCCCCATTATGCATAGAATGGCAAAGAAAAGCAAACACATGAAACAAACCTTATAGATGAATTTGTAGACATCTAAGTAATGCAGAAATGTGATCCCCAAAAGATAAGATTTGTAAGTCCTTTCTGCAAAGGAGAAGTTGCAGAATTGTTTTGCTATAATTTCCAGCTTAGCATCACCAGTATCAGTATTACAGGACTCTAGCTGTAGTATTTGAAATATCAGCTGTATTGGCATGAAAAAAAGCAAAATGGTAAATACTAGACTCTCACTAAAAAGGTTAAATTAAGTAGCTCTCTTTAAAACCACTGACCTAGACCACTTTAACAAAGCAGCAGATAGATACCAGTTGTTATATCAGGCAGTTTCTTAACATCTTGTAAAGAAAAACAGGTTCTTGGACTTTAATTATTAATATATTAATTTTGTATCTTGCTATTTTATGATCAAGAACAAGAACTTATTGATGAAGTGCAAGCATATGCTATATTCATGTTTCCAATATTGTTGCCTGCCCTAACACTTCCTTAGTTGGGTATGGCTTAACATAGACTTTCTTTCCTCTGGTGAACACATATATATCTATTTTTTACTAGCTGTCCCCGGCCACGCGTTGCTGTGGCTCAGTCTGGTAAAAGCGTGTGTTGCTTTTACGTCCAACAGATGGCGCTGTTTTTTAAAAAAAGCATGTTTTACCTGTCACAGGTGTGACATCTATATAATATAGGTATATAAAAACACGTGCGTATTTGAATGCAACGTTGTGTCAAAATTTCAAAGCACTCGGTGAAGAACTTTTGGAGATTTAAGATTTTGAACAAATGAACATTTACATTTTTATTTATATAGATTGCATGGTGAAACAGACTATATATGTTTCCCAATTTAAAAACTTGCCCTGTATACTTTCCAAAAGTAAAATCAGAAACAAACACCCTGATCTAACTATTACTCAACCCACATTTAAGGTAATGTGGTTTTTTATAAACCTTATTCAAACAGATTGATAAAAAAAATGTGAAAAGCAGAATTAAACATTTTGGAAGGCCTCTGCTTGTTCTCTATGTGAACTGTCATTTTGGGATATTAACTGACATTCAGCCAGTTTATTTTTTAATGACCCTTTCTCTCAACAATTATCTTTGTATCAGAAGCACTGGGATTTAATTTTTTTTCATCTATGTATCAGCATCACTTTTTGCCCACTGAATAGAATGTCAGACTATCATAGGCTGAAATATTATGATTTGATTTAGAAGTGACAGATACATCACTGAAAAAGATGAGTTACCCACTGATATCAACCATTTAGTCACACCTGATTTTTTACACAGATGAGCATGTATGATATAATCTCTGAAAAGTCATCTTAGCTTATAGTTATTATTCCTAAAAAACTTGCCTGTGTTTTGTTTTCTGAAAGAGGCATTTCTGTGAAAGCATTGATACTTTTGGTAGACAATCCTACAATATTTCTGAGATCATTCTTGAGGCCATCAGCATTTCGGAACAGATCTATGATCATATCTTTAAAACATCACAGAACAAAAGTTTAAAATTAAAAGGTTTGTTTTATTCCAGCTTTCAGAAAATACTATAAACAGAACACTTAAAAGATGGTTTGCAAAAGAAAAGTGCTTTATGCTATAAAGTAATAACCCGAATAAGAAAATATTCAAAATGTTTATTCTCCTATTTAAAATTAATTTGTATTTTTATTCAAAGAGGAACTTGAGCAAGCACATATATTTCCAATTATTTGATATTCACATTTAGGTAGCATTTTAAAAAATAAAAATAAAAAAATAAACCATATCTGTTTATAAAAAATTAAGCCTATTTTCATAATTCTTCAATTTCACCTGACTCTTTCATTTCAGAAGCCTAAGAAATACATCTTTTTAAATAAATGTTAATTTCCCTTCTTGTTTAAATTATATCAGATGAATATGTTTGGTGATCAATATATTCTATTTATTTTTTTTACCAGTTCCCTCTGAAAAAAATTAGTATTGCTGTAATTAATTAAAATTCAAAACTTAAAAAACTGTTATTTTCTCATCAACAAGTTGAGCAATCCCTAATAATGCAGACGATATTATTAGTCAATAACTGTATTTTCTGAATAGATATGGACAGCTCATTTAATTCTCTTTAGAACAGCACTTGGTTTCCTTTTTTGGGGCGGGGGAGGAGGTTACCCTCAAGTCAGCCTTGACTCCTGGTGACTACACTGACAAATCCATGCAGTTTTTTTGGCAACATTTTAGTACTGCAAATGGTTTGCCTTCTTCAACTTTGTGTTTAAGGCAGGACTAGTCCCACAGTTTCAGTTGATTGCAAAATAAATATAAGTCAGCAGTGTGTTATGACTGTAAAACAGGCAAGTATAGTTGCATCAATAAGTAAAATTTCCAATTTTGGAGAATGAAGCATTTTAAATAGATATCGGATTCAGTTAGACCTCACCTGGACTTTCGTGTCCAGTTTGAGGCATGACAATTTAAGAAGGATTCAGAGAAATTAGAGCAGGTTCAAATAAGGGCAATTGAGATGATCCTATGAATACAGATTGAAGGATCTGCATATGGCGAGCTTTGGGAAAAGGCAGTTTGAGAAGAGAGATATGACATCACATAGATAGCCATACCATCCATTGTTTGTAGCATTTATTGGAACACTGTGGCTATTTACACAACACATTGTTAACTCAGTTATTTGTTTGGTCTTACTTCTGAGTGGCCTTAAGAGTATCATATTATTCTCAAGTCAGATTTGTAAGCATTTCATAGAAAAACAGGGTTGGAAGGGACCTTCTAGTACAATACTCTAGTATAGAAATCGTGGGGGCTCCATCACTGGAGATTTTTAAGAAGAGGCTAGAAAATCATTTGTCTGAGATGGTATAGGTCCTCCTGCTTGAGCAGGGGGCTGGACTAGAAGACCTCTAAGGTCCCTTCCAGCTCTATTCTATTCTAACCTTCTGCTCAAGCAGGAGACCTTATACAATTCCAGACAAATGTTTGTCCAATCTCTTCTTGAAAACTTCCATTAACAGAGCACCCACAACTTCTGGAGGCAAAGTGTTCCACTGACTAATTGTTCTCATAGTCAAGAAATTTATCCTTAATTCTAGGTTGGATTTCTCTTTGATGATCTTCCACTCATTACTTCTTGTTCTGCCCTCAGTTGCTTTGATGAAGAGGCCAACCTCCTCTTCTCTGTGAAAGTCCCTCAAGTATTGGAAGACTGCTATCATGTCACCCCTAGTCCTTCACTTCACTAGATTAGACATGACCTTGTTCCCTTAATCATTCATCGTACAATTCAGCCTCCAGACTTGTTATCATCTTTGTTGCTTTTCTCTCTTCTCTTTCTAGGACCTCAGCATCTTTTTTGTATTGTGGTGACAAGAACTGAGCACAGTATACCAACAGTTACCTTACTAGTCCTGTATTAATAGCAATAGCACTTAGATTTACATACAGTTCTTTTACAGCCCTCTCTAAGCAGTTTACAGAGTCAGCATATTACCCCCAACAATCTGGGTCCCCATTTTACTGACCTCGGAAGGATGGAAGGCTGAGTCAACCTTGAGCTGGTGAGAATCGAACTGCTGAACTGCTGGCAGCCAGCAGTCAGCAGAAGTCACCTGCAGTACTGCATTCTAACCACTGTGCCACCAGGCTCTAATACTAAAAAGGTACTGTCCCTCTATTGATGCTGCCTAAGACTGCACTGAGTTACCTGCAGCACATTGTTGGCTCATACTTAAGTGGTGATCCATTAGAACACCTAAATCCCTCTGTTACCAGGTACCACCTATTCTATACTTGTGCATTTGATTTTTCCTGCCTAGGTACAAGACCTTACTTTTCTCACCACTGATCTGCATCTTATTGGATGGGATCCAATGCTCAAGTCGGTCAAGATCCTTCTGAATATTGAGTATGTCTTCTAAAGTGTTGGCTATTCTTCTTTGTGAGGTGTCATCTGCAAATTTGATGACCCTTCTATCTCCTTGTCTAAATCATTATACCCCACTGCATACTTCCCTCCATGTAAATGTACAATAGTTCCACTGAGGACTGCATTTTGAATGCTGTTGGTCTAGTTGTGATTCCTTCTAGTGGTGATGTGGTCTATCCCACATTTTTCTATCTTATAAAGAAGTAGGTTGTGATCTGCTTTTCCAAATGCTTTTCTGAAGCTTAAGTAAATTATGTAAGTAAACAACATTGTCAGAGGGTTGCTTAATTTGGCTGATTTTAACTTTCCACAAATGACTTAAATGGCTCAATTGCACTCTTCAATTTGCATCTGTTTAATTGTAATAAGGATGTGGTTTTATATCTCTGAAGAGGAAACATTTTTTTCTCCCAACAAAAATGCCGAAACATATCCATTGCACAATTAACATTTACAAACAGAGAAGATATGGGAGTAGAATTTCCTGTAGGTAGTTTGGGCCTAACTCATGTGTGGTTTTATTGTTTTTTTAACCTTTAAATCACCCCCCATACACACAGACAGAAATACCACAGCCCAGTAAACATCCAAGGATGTTGCTAGAAGTTTGGAGAAACACCACTAACCATCTGGGATACTGCATTTTGCCCCGGCTCTACTTCCTGGATCACGTTGTAGTCATTTCCTTCTCCTTCTCCTCCCCACTCATTAAGCTGGCATTGGCAACAGGGTTTTTGGTTCATTGTGTTATGCTGACATTTGGGGAGCTAAGGATTCCCTAGGATGCCTTAGCTCCCCAAATGCCAGTGTAACACAACAGGGGTTTTGGTCCATTACAATACTTACCTCCCGGACCTGCCAGTTTAAAGCTGCTTTGCTGAGTTACTCCTAAAAGCATGAACATTTCCTCCTCATGCTGGATAGAAAGGCCTGTGTTTTGTAAACTGACATGGTTGTGCTGACACTGAGAACAATAAAGCTACTTTGCCCAGTATAGCAGCCCAGGTGTCACAACAGGCTAAAAAGGAACTCTCCCGTGTGGCTTTCTCCTTCCCAGCCTCCTAGGTTTTGCTAATCTTCAAAAGATAAGCACAGGATTGTGAGGGGTGGAAGAGAGCCATTTGGAATCTGGTGGGGAACAAAGCAGGTCTAGTGCCTTTGGGGACCCGGCAGGGCAGGATGGAGGGGAGAATAGATATATGGACATGCTGCAGCATCTCTGCAAAGTTAAGAATTCTACAGAACCTATCCAGTCATTCTTACGGGCAAATGACCGCGTGGGTTCATAGAAATCATAACTTTGAAACAGAATTGTACATAGGTTTTTTTGGGGGGGGGAGGGAGGTCTGTTGTAACTTTGAATAGTCATTAAATGATCTGTAGTACTTTCATGATTACCTGTATACAGTTTTGTAGAGAAAAGTCAGATGGTCTTTCCTGTCCATGACTGATTTTTAGCCCCCACTTTACAATTTTTCATCCTAGATTGGAAGTTAGTAACTCAATGCACTGCCAGGCCCATTCTCTTTGTCCCTAATGTACTCTCAGAGAACCCTGGCAATTTTTGGTGATTGAGTTTTTGGCATTTCACCCATGCTAAATGAAATCTACTATTTACAATCCCCACCAAATTAAAAAAAAACACTGTCTTTTAAATACTGTCATTTTGTTACTGACACCACCCACCACCACAACCATTCAAGATAAAAAAAGTAGGGTGTGTTTATGATTATAAATCAACAAACAAAGTTCATAAGACTTAATCTACCTATCTTACCACATTTATTTCAATCTAAGTTCTCTAAAAAACATTTTTTTAAACTTTAGAAAAATGTTAAAGGAAATGGGCAGAAAACTAAAATAAAGAAAAATTTATCCATACATAATTGTTGAAAGCAAAGATTACCTTGTTTTCTGGAATGTGGTGTAACCTTAGTGATATTCATTATAGAATTCAAGGCAGAAATATGCTTAGAGTTATCACGGAAATATTTAAGTTGGGAGACATTTTCTTGTAACCTTTTTGAAGAAAAGAAAAGGAGTAAGTATTGGCCCTCTGAAATAGATACTAATTGCTACATATTATATGCAAAGAATCTTACCACTTAATTTGTTGCAGAAGCTTTTGGGGATTCCCAACAATTATTTCCTGAAATTCTTGGAAGAGTTTTCTGTGGCTAATTAAATTGGTCAGTGCAGGATCACTTCGGTTTCTACCACGAAGAAGCTTCTTGTGGAATTCACTTTGACTGCACAACTCCGCAAAACTAACATCAGGGAGCTGGCATGTTTGCTGCAACCATTTAATACTCTCGAAATCACAAAGGAGTGATGTTAGGTTTTGCAGATGGGTTAGCTTTAAACAATCAAAACAGAGACAAAATTAATCACAAATAAATAATAAAAAGCAATGAAAGAAGCCTAACCAATATTGAAGGGAAATACTATTTTATGACAATGATGGAAGCCTTTGCATATAATCAGGATTGGATTCTAGGTCTAGGTAAGTAAGGCAGTTGCCCAGGGTTCCAAATTTTAGGAGACACTAAAATTGAAAAGATTTCCAAAATACACAATACGAGTATAAAATATAATAACCTTTCCTTGTTGCTTTGGAACTTTTTCTTTCTACGTTTTTTGAAATACATATTCACAAAGTCACTGGAGTAGTAGTGAGCAGCACTAACCAGATGTTGCAAATCATGAAAAATATATATAATTATAGCTATGGACCTCAGAAAGCTGATAATATTACCGGAGCAATATTACCTGGAAGATCCTGAGCAAATGAATTGTGTGATTATCAGCTTATCAAAGTTAGAAGAGGTAACAGCATATTTGTGAACCAGTACACCTACATAAGGATTAAATATATTTATGCAGAATTATTGCCTTATGACAATGGGAACTAATGTAATTAAAATTACTTACTGTTTAAATAGGATTTAAATGTCCGAGAAAAAAATGTCCATGGCTGAAAATCATAACAGTAAAGCTAAAAAACTCAAAGGAAAAAAGGAACACAAGGATGCTTTTTAAAATTCCTAACAAAATTGGAACATGAGCCAAAAAATAGGGGTGTCGGAATATGATTTTATCTATTACCTAATGACTAGAGCTGGTCCTGATAAAATATAGGGTGAAAAACTGGTTTCTTCTAGCTCTGAAAAGAAAGTTTAGCCCCTTTTCAGTTCTACTCCGAACTGCACTCAGTGCAGGACTTCAGATGCATAACTGAAAAAACAAGGAGAGAGAAAAATTTGGAGCAGAGAAGCAGCAGGTAGGGTACACTTCTTTGTCCATTTCCCTAACAATGGTATTCTACAAAAACAGCCAGCTGAGCTTCGAAAACTTGCTAAGCATGCACTTTCATATTATCATTGGTATTTTTCACATCCAAATGATACGTTTACTTACTTTTAACATTAGAACCTCTGGAACTGTGGCATAAGTATTTTGAGAATTAAAAAGGACTCCTTTTAGTTCTGTTATTTTTGGAGGAAGAGTACAATTTCCTGTAAGAAACAGCATCATCTTGTCTTTTGTAATACATTGTTTATAATTTCCACTATCACTAACAAACTCTGCAGGCATTTTGAAAACAAACGAAAACAATGTTGTTCTAGCAAGCATTTGCCTCTTAGATTAGTTTTACTGAATGGCAACTGAGATATATTTGAATTCTATTGTTTAAAATAGTTGTAAGTGAAAGAGTTTTTGTACCCAGAATTTGGGGGAAAAATACATTTAACCATCATGAGCTGAATCATGCTTTAAAAGAAGGAAGTAGGAATCAAACCTTCATGCATAATAAACAGTAGACCACTCTTTTCTTTATTACTCCATTTTGTGTTTCAGTTCTTTTCAAGCACATAGAAAAAATTGACTATTCATTCCAAAGAACATTTTAAGGTTCATCCAGGGAATAAACTTTCTAAACCAGTGGTGGCGAACCTATGGCACACATGCCAGAGGCGGCACTCAGAGCCTTCTCTGTGGGCACGCATGCACGCTGTCGCCCCAGCCCCGCCTCCCCCTGCAGCCCCCTCCTCACCAGCAGCCGCCCCGGAGAGTTGCCCCGGGCGTGACCCGTGTGGAGCAGCGCAGGCAAGGACATGGCAGCCAGGCAGCAGGGACAAGACTCTGCCTTCGCGCCCCATTGCGCGCAGTTGATGGTGTGGGGCGTGGGCGGAGGGTGTGGCCACCATGGCACTGCAGGGCTGCCTGGGAAATCTGCTGCAGGCTGTGGAGGTGGTGGGTGGCCCTGCGGGCGGGTGGGTTGGCGGGTGGGGCAGGAGGGCGGAATGGGGGCTGAACAGGGGCAGTTTTCAGGCACTCGGTTTCTAAAAGGTTCGCCATCACTGTTCTAAACTATGAAATATTTTTATCAACTTTAGGATGTTATTTGTTTCATCAAATAGCTTTTCCTTTGAATGAATATCAGAACATATTTTCTTTTTTTAGGTTTAAGCTGGAATCACTATCACAAAATAAAATGACTGAATGTAAAGCACTGCAAATCTATCTGTGTTAAAACCAAAATGAAGGTTTCTCTCTGTAAGTTTTTAATTCATCAACTTCTAGTGCCACTGCAGTTCTTTTCTTAAGACAAGTACCCAACAATTTTTTATGAAATAATATATGCACCACAGTTACATTAAGCCATGTGCTACTATTGGTTCTAATGAAGTGATTCTTGTTGATCAGGCTTCCTGGCTTTTATCTGGGTATGAACATCAATGTCACCATAAAGCATCCAGTTGCCATTAAACTCTTTCACAAGAAGAAGATTTAAAAACAAATATATTGTATGCTATTATGAAAATATGTGTTACCTGACAATTCATTGTCTGGCTCTTGAAACACGTTCATTATGCAAATGAAATATGATGAGAAGTTACTATTATGAGATGTTTTTAGGAAGACATGTACAAATTCTGAAAACAGAAACCTGGGAAAAAACAGAACAAAACAGTCTCATGTGAAGTCACACACATTAAAGAATGTTTTGCAATTAAAGACTTTTTAAAAAGTTTTCAATTTACCTAGAGTGGCACTAAGCCAATTTCATTCAGAAAATGTACCAAAATGTACATTATAGTAGTTAACAGATCTTAAAGAAGAAGAATTTTACTTCTATCAGTTGACTTATATCACTGAATACTTCAGAGATAATTAACAAAATACCAAAATTTTCTAAATTTTAAACTAGATTTGAGCTCAAAAAAACAAACAATAAGATTCTCCCAGGTCTTTCCAAATGAGTATCTTAAACTTTAGTTTAACAAAACATTTCCAATTTTAATGAACAAACCAAATGAACAGATTTGAAAACCCACTGAGAGCTGTGCAACACAACCCTACAGAGATTGGTTCTCATTAGATTGGATTTTCTTCTGAGTGAGAAACTTGATTTTTTTTCTAAGTTTAAAATTGAAGATTAATCCTGAAGTTATTGAGACTTGCTAAATAAATGTTTAAGACTGGACTGTTGCAATTATTTTAATTGGAATTAAGAAAATTAATTAATTACTTTAATTAATTACTTTGATTTTAATTGGAACTAAAATGCCTGATGTCTGTCATGAAGTGGTCCCAGGATGACACTGGGACTGCAGTGCCAGGTGCACGGTAGTGTAGTGTGATATCTCCCTTGGGCAACTCCCCAGATTCCTCCTCAAATGTTAGCTCGGAGGAGGTTGAGCCCATTCCTGGCACATCAGGAACTGGGTTGTTTGATGGCTCTGAACAACTGTCCGAAAGAGATTTGGAGGAGGCTTCAGCTGGGGAAAGTTTGCAGTGGCAGACTGCCAATGAAGAGGAAGAGGAACTGCCTTCAGCATGTGATCCGAGAACACACAGGGCAGACAAAAGGCAAGAGCAGCGGAGGTCAACCAGACTAATCGAGAGGAGAACACCCTGCCCATCTGATGGGCTGCATCAGAAAGCTGACTATGGTGGCATTGCTGGGAACAACATGTTGGTTTTCTAGCTGTTTGTTTGATCGTTGTCATTCCTGCTTCACTCTGAATTGACATTGTTTGGAGTTGTGCCTTGAAGACGCTGAACTTTTCTTGCCATGTGAGCTCTCTTGTCAGTGGTGGGATTCAAATACGTTGCATGGGCAACAAAAAATTAACTACTGGTTCTGCCGAAGTGGTGCGAAACGGCTGAATCCCACCACTGTCTCTTGTGTTTGGATTTAAGTTTTGCCTGGTGGAGTTATTTTGTTTGAGCAACTTTCAATTGCTTTGTGGACTATTAGCCATTGCTCTGTGGACTAAATTTGGTCTGCTTGTGGCTGGACTTAACTGGGATAGTTCTGAGTTTTTGGTGAAGCGAATTGCTGGGGAATATTAACAAACTCACTAAATCACAGTTACATGTGTGTGTGTGAGTGGCACAGCACATGTAGGCTATGCAGATGCACACAATGGAAATCTACATGCTAGAGGGGGCACATTCTATTGAGGAACATGTGAACAAACAAATCAATAATAAAGACAAAGTCGCAGCAGCAATGGAGAATCTCAGTTTGCAGGAAACTGTGAACCAGGGTGGGCTGGAGCCTGACTGACTTGAACTATAGCTGGTACCTTTGTATCAACTTCTTTATAACATTATCTTCAATTTAATACTAAAAATTATTTGTACCACTTATATATTTTTAAAGCAGAGGTGGGGAACAATGGCCTCTTTATAACTTGTGGACTTCACCTCCAAGGATTCCTGAGCCATTATTCCCCACCCCTGTTTTAAAGCATCATTTGAAAGCATCCAATAAAACATACAAAGAATGGTTACAGGAAGGGGGTCAAGTTATTTTCCAAAGCACCAAAAGGCAAGACAAGAAACAATGGCTGGAAACTAACCAAGGAGAGAAGCAACCTAGAACTAAGGAAAAATTTCCTAATGGTGAGAGCAATCAACCAATGGAATTGCTTTGCCTTCAGAAGTTATGGGTGCTCCATCACTGGAAGCTTTCAAAAAGAGACTGGACAACCATTTGTCTGAAATGGTATAGGGTCTCCTGCTAGAAGACCTCCGAGGTCTCTTCCAACTCTATTATTCTTTGTTCTACATTCAATTACCTGAAAACAAGAGTGATCAGACCTGAACAATCTCAGATGAACTATAAAGAACAAAAATTTAATATTCTCTTTATGTTTCTAAATATGAATAATTTTTATTGCCAATTTATGCAGAAGAGATTGGCAAACCATTTGTCTGGAATGGTATACAGTCTCCTGCTAGAGCAGGGGATTGGACAATAGGTAGTAATGGAAAACAAACTGGGAAATAAAGAGGATTTGAGATAAAACTTTCAAATTGGAGAATGATGACTCATGAAAGGGGGCCAACAATACTGCGCTTTATTGGTACTTCATCCCCTGTAGCTATAAAGGGGAGGAGCAACTTGTGGCTGGGGTGGGGGTGGGATTCAGTTGTGTCAACATGACTTAGAGAGACTGGCAAGTTTCACTAGCAAGGAAATAACCCTCTTACCTCCACTAGAAAAAGGGTCTACCTTACAGAGCTGAGGGGAAGAAAAGCAGACTCTAAGCAGATGGAAGGAAGGATGGAGGAGCTGCAAGACAGATGCAGCAGCAAAAAGGAAAATAAGAGAAATTGCTACATGGGGCTTTTGTAAAGGTAATTGTGTTTGAGAGATAATTGGTTTGATTCCAATAGGTACACTCCGACTTACTGTTTCTTTGATCCCCCTTTGCTCACTCAAGATTCTCTTGTGCAACATCTAGAATTCTCCTGAATAGTTCTCCATATATAGTTCTCCATACTATTTTTATGCTAGCTGAATAGCAATTCTTTTCACAGTACCAAATGCCATGAGACATTTCCATTGTAGGGAGTTAAAGCATTTTATCAAAGCAAACCACAGCCTACTTCTTGGTAAGCTAGAAAAACGTGGGATAGATAGCATCACCACCAGATGGATTCATAATTGGCTGACAAATCCCCACTCAGCAGGTAGTCCTCAATGGAACTACATCTACATGGAGGGAAGCATGTAGTGGGCCTTTTTGATATCTTCATAAATTATTTATATTGGGATAGAAGGGGAACTCATCAAATTTGCAGATGACATCAAACTGGGGGAAATTGCTAACACTTTGGAAGATAGGCTCAAGAGCCAGAATGATTTTGACAGACCAGGAACACTGAACCCTATCCAACAAAATGCAATTCAGTGGTGAGAAAAGTAAGGCTTTACTCTGAGGCAAGAAAAACCAAATGCACAAATATAAAATAAGTGGCTCAACAACAGTACCAGTGAAAGAAATCTAGGTGACAATGGACAACCACTTAAGTATGAGCCAGCAGTGTGCTGCAGCTGCCAAAAAGAAAAAAGAAATTGCAGTCCTAATATGCATCAACAGAAGAATACTATCAAGATCATGTGAAGTGTTAGTACTGCTTTACATGGTAAGACCACACTTGGAATACTATGTCCAGTTCTGGTTACCACAATACAAAAAAGATGCTGAAGCCCTACAAAGAATGTAAAATAATTAGGGGTCTGGAGCTAAACCCTACGATGAACTGGGTATGTCTAGTCTAATAAAGAGAAGAATTAGGAGTGGCATGATAGCAGTCTTCCAATACCTTGAGGGGCTGTCATAGAGAAGAGGGGGTTGACTATTTTACAAAGCAGTTGAAGGCAGGACAAAAAGTGGTGGGTGAAAGATCTTTAAAGAGAGATCCAACCTAGAACTAAGGAGAAATTTCCTGACAGTGAGAACAATTAATCAGTGGAACAGCCTGCCTCCAGAAGTAGTAGCTGCTCCATCATTAGAGGTTTTTAAGAAGATATTGGACAGCCATTTGGCTGAAATGGTGTAGGGAAGACATGTCAAACTCGCGACTTCACGTGACATCACACAATGTATCAGAGCTTTTTTGCCATTGCCGGCAATGGGGTGGGCGTGGTTTCCCGATGATGCATACGGCCCACGGGCCGGCGGTTTGACACCTCTGGTGTAGGGTCTCCTAGTTGAGCAGGGGGTTTGACTAGAAGACCTCCAAGATCCCTTCCAACTCTGTCATTCTATGTTCTAACTCAACATAAAGAGAAAATAGAACAATTCTTATTTGATCAGAAAATGAATTTTGGCAATCACATGAGGTTACAAAAAGATACTCAAGTGTACGGTACACATTAACACTCTCTCTGCTCTGTAGAAAAGTCAACCTGTCAATTATGCATAAATACACATTTTTAAAAAGAACTATGAACCAGACATCAGTAATTCTGCATCATTCTGCACACTTTATACAATATTATTTATATCAGCATCAACTCAAAAATATTTCTTTTCTGCTGAAAAGAGAATGAATTTCTCTTCATTCAACTAATTATGAAACACATTACTTACTGTGCAATCAAATTGCTTGGAGATTGTGCTTGTACCCATTCCTTCCAAAATGTCTTGTTTAGAAGTGTTTCTGCAACCATGAGAAAAGGATGCCTAATATGATCAAATTTATATTGCAGCTCAGTTCTTTTTGATAGCAAATTTGGATCTGGATTTGCTTTAAGCTCCTTTAGCAAATCCAAATGATTTAAAGTAGAAATACTGACATTAAATATTTCTGGAACTGATTTGTTGTGATCCAAAACTTTTCCCATAATTTCCAAGCCATATCTTGCATTCTCTGTTTCTGTGTGGTACCATTTTGACAACATAATCCAAATCTGTGAAAAATTACTTGTAGATGGAATAGAGCTTTCTTCTTTATTTCTTTGTGTGGCTTCATTCACTGGAATATTCACATGTGCAAAATCTCGAAGCAGCTTGGAGAATATTGCTAACTCACTCCAGTCTATTAATTTGTCAATGCAATTTTGTATATAATATTCTGTTTCATTACCTGACAACAGCAAGGGATTTGTTGAAGGGTTATAAGTAACATCATTTATACTATCAAGAACTGGGATGAAACAAGTTGAATTAATTGATGGTAATTGTTTAGAAATCTTTGCTAAAGTTGCATACATCTCATGTATCCAAGGATGTTGGAAATCAAAAAGTATATCCATTTTCAAAAGCAAGCCAGAAGAAAATTGTAGTGATTTGATGATGCATAACAAATCATTTGAAAAATGCACATTATTTTTTTTGTAAAGATTTGTTAAATTTGTCTGCTGGAAATTTCTTATGGAGAAAAGGAAGAAGTCAATAAATGTTTGATTTGTTCTCTTTTCAAAATCCATGGAAGAGAAAAGCAGTTCACAATGGTTTTGGTTATGTACTTCAGAGAGAGTGATATTTTTAAATAGCATTTGAAAAATTATGTGAATTATATCTTGGGCATTGCAATTATGTGGCGCTCCCATTTTGTTGGTCCAACTATGTAATAATGGACTTAGAGTTAAATATACGATATCCACTGTTTTTGTTTCAACTAAATTTCTATCTCCCAAGAAAAATTCACTGAATTCCTTTTGAAACAGAAATTGTGAAAAACCATACAAGGTGGTAATTTTTCCTTTATCAGTTTCTTCCAATTTGCTATCAGACAGTATCATTGCTCCTTGATTCAGTATGTCATAAATATTTTCAAAGATTTTGTGGCTATTATTAGACAATGGGGGGATGGCTTCTAATTGACTGATGTTAAATTGATGCCCAAACTTTTGCTGAAATAACAGCTTCCTAACAGCAATATGAATTTGTTCTGAAGTGTTAATATGTGGGTTTTCTTCATTATATTTTGGTAGTACATGGGATAAAAGTTGAGTTAACCTTTGCAGTTCTGAATTAAAATGAAGGTTAGAAGCATTATTCAGTAAAGAAAGATGTTTATATAATATACTTAAAAAAAGTGAGCTATGCATTACAGATCGTAGTTCTTTATGAATATTTACAAAAGCCTCCAACTCATGTGACCAAGATTTGTTAGTAGTATTTTGCATTCTTTGTACTAATTGTGAAAGATAAGTAATCAGATTTACATTACTGGCTTTCATTACTGAAGATTTAAGAAAAAAATCTGAAGAAGTCAAAGGAATTTTTTCTCTTGAATCAAAAGCCCATGGTATGTCCTCTAGAGATTGGGTAGTTGCTACAGACATTATCTTCTGGATAGTTTTCCATATCATTTTAAGTTTTAAGTTGATCCTATTTAAAAACAAATCATTTGATATTCTTGTAGTTTTGTTTAATCTGTGTTTCATTTGTTCTTGAGGATTAATGTAGAAAAGTCTTTGAAAAAGACCATCAATAGGTGATAAAAAAGTATTAATATTTTTTCTAATATAAGTTTTGCAATTTATGTCAGAATTGGAATTTAGGAACAATCTTAACACATCTAATACCTCTTCCAAAGAGGAAACTTTCATGCCCCAGCTTAAAGTTTCAAGAAGCTTATATGTTTCTTTTTCCTTGTTGGCTAATCCAATGACAACAAGAATTAGCACTTTTCTGGACATTTCTAGCAGTTGAATATACTGCTTTGTATTTGTCACATTCTGTTTCGAGTTCAATATTTCTGCAACCTCATTCAAAATCTCTGAAAAATTATTCCATTTTAATTGATGAACATTTTTGCTCATTTGTAAAATCTTTGCTATAATCTTTTGATGTTTATTATGTAGCAAAACAGGCACAAATGTTTGATTCCAAACTGATGGATTATCCAGGATATTTTGAATATCTGCTACTGTTCCATTCAGAATAAAAGAATTCTGAATGTCTAAAGCAGAAATTTTGTCAATGATATTGCTAAGCAATGGTTCTCTGCAAGTCAGTTTATGTTGAGACAGATCAAGAGAAAAAGCGCTTAGATTTTTATGAATCTTTTCTATCCAGGAATTCTGGTATTTATGGAGCCCAATTAATTTGGACAGAAAACTGGATGAAACTTCTAATAATTTGACGAGACACTGAAATTCACCTGGGAAGTGTTTCCTTTTGTTTCCCTGGACTGTTTCAAAAAGTGATGCTGATTTGAGATTTTTTATTGTAAGCTGAAACAATTGGGTAAACATATGGTGATAGGTTGTTCTGTTTTCAAAATCCAGAGAAGAGAAAAGAAAATTACATTTGCTTTCTCTTAAGGCTTTCTTTAGTGTGGCATTATTGAAAAACACTTCAATTGCAATGAGATGGAAGTCTTTGACAGTGCAGTCTGAGAAGCTGTTGTCGACCTGAATGTTTCTCATTTGAAGAAGGCTTGGTGCTAAATACAAGAGTTGCAACACTTTTGCTTGTATTGAAGAATTATGCCACACTGGAGTTATATATAAATCCAGCAAAGGTAATGCTTGTGAAAATCTGAGGAGGGTATCAGTTTTGTTAACATTAAATGCTTCTATCTGACTGGGATCAGAAAGTATCTCCATACCCTTTTTAATTGTCTGAAATAATTTCTGTACACTTTTATAGTTGGTATTCATTAGGGGATTAACAATAATGAATTCATTGATGTACTTTTTCTCCAGGTCCTCTAACACTTGTAAACTTTTCAAAATAGTATTTAAAACCATTGAAACATTTGTTCCCTTGATGCTCCCTGCATCATACTTTTTCAATAAATGATTTACAAATTTAATCATTTGCTCAAGTTCTATTTTCAAAGGAAGTCCAAAGTTATCATGGTTGACATACAGATTGTCATGTAATATATCTAAAATCTGTCTATACATAAGGATGTCTGTATCACTCCATTTTGCAGACCTCAGTTTTTCAACAATATGCCAGTAAGTGTTGAATTCATTCCACTGAGATTCATTAATGGAATTTTGAATTTTCTGCATCAGGTTAGTCAGGGAAGAGATCAATAGGTAGTTATGATTAGTCCTGCTATTTGTTATGATACTAAAGATTTTCTGAAGTACCAGGAGCTTCTCAGGAAAATTGTCAGTTGTTGCAGGTTTAAGCAGAAAATTTAATAACAATGATGGCACTTCTTCCACTGAAGTTAAGTATCTTCTATATTTTTCAGGCAGGAAAGAGAATTTGTGGACAGTACTCATTTTAACAGCTTGCCATGCCTTTCTGGCTTTAAAAATAATATTATTTAAAAACACGATATCCCTGATGCTCCTATTTAAATTGTGGATATTTTCTTTTAAGTCGAATAATGGCATTTTCTTCAAGCTATTCTGAGATTTTGTATTTCTTTTATAATCCTTTAAAAAATAGCCAGTTTTAAAATCTTCATAACCAAAATCAAGAGCTAAAAGATTCCTGTAATAAAAAGATATAAAATGCATCACTTATAACAGAACAAAGACAATGAAAATGCCATGAAATTTGTTTCCCCTTTCAAAGTTTACAAAACAACTATCTAGATATCAAATTTTTGCCTTTTTGCAATAGTGTTTTTATAACTTGTCTTCCCACCTACCTCCTCCTTACACCTTGCTTGCTTCTATTTTTAATAAATCGTATTTTGCCATTAAACATAAGGTTTATTTTTATGACTGGTCTTAAATAAGATTCCAATCAACCACGAAGAATGCCAGATATGGTCTCTCATGGTTCCTGACCCAGTTTTTTGTCTTCTTCCAAGGCACTGCCACTTTTTTAGTTCCCATATTCCTCTTTTCTACCCAATCCTCTCTTTGAACTATAAACATTTAAAACTCAGTTAATAGCTTTTATTAATGTCAGTGGATGTTTCTTAAATGCTTACAATACTGTACTTCAAAAGATATATGATTGCTGATCTATAGGAAAGAGATAATCTGCTCCTTCCTACTACTTCAATCAAGGTAAAATATAGTAGCTTTTGCTCACACATGGGAGCATTTTCAGCAGAGGTACTCATGAAGCAGCTCCACATTCAATTGAAATGTGGCAGTTCAAAGTTCATGCATATTCCGCTGAATTATATTTTTATAAAGTGTATTGTCATATGCTGAAGTCATACATAAATTTAGTTTATAAATAAAAAAATCCATTAAAAACATGGCACTCGTTTTGGGGTAGACATGCATAATTCTGTTGATCTTATGTGAATACTAGCTTTTACATGTGTATACAGGTATGGGTAATCCTCAAGATACAATATAGATCATTTACTGTCCGTTCAAAGTTACAACAGCCCCCCCCCCCCAAAAAAAACCTATATACAACCCTGTTTCAAAGTTACAAATTCTACAGAACCAACCTGGTCATTCACCTTACAAATGACTGGGGGGGGGGGTGTTGTGTAGAATTCTTAACCTTGCAGAGACACTGCAGCACACCCACATATCTAATCACCATGTATCCTGCCCTACCAGGTCCCCAAAAGCACTGGGCCTGCTTTGTTCCCCACCAGATTCCAAACGCTTCTCTTCCACCCCTAACAAACCCACACTTACCTTCTGAAGATTTGCAGAACTCAGGAGGCTGGGAAGGAGGAGGTCACGTGGGAGGATTCCTGCAGCCTCCCTTTCAGCCTGTTGTGAAGCATGAGCTGCTGTACTGTGCAAAGAAGCTGCATTGTTCTCAGCCAGATTACAAAATGCAGGCTTTTGTATCCAGCATGAGGAGGAAATGTTTATGCTTTGAGGAGTAACTCAGCAAAACAGCTTCTTTCTTTCAAAGGGGTAGAGTGTTACACTGATGTTCAGGGAGCTAAAGATTGCAACAGACAAAAAAAAAACCTGTTGCATTAGTCTAGTGTTCAGGGAGCTAAGGTATTCTAGGAATCCCTAGTTCCCTAAACAACAGCGTAACACAATGGGGCTTTTGGTCCAGCGCAATCCGTAGCTTCCAATGGAGCATAATGCAATGGAGCTAAGGATTGCAAAATTGCGGTTGTGAATGCCAATGTAACACAATGAAGCTAAGGATTGCAATGGACCAAAAGCCCCATTGCATTACACTGGCATTCAGGGAGTTTAGAAGAAATTGTGCTGATTTACTTGCCATGGCTGGGGAGGAAAGAATTGTGAGGGAAGCAAAACTAGTAAGATTTCTTCTTGATTGTGCTCCATGGCCCTGCAACAGTCCAGCAAGGGAGCACCTTCTCTACTCCAACTTCCCAGACTCTGGATATCTTCAAAAGGTAAGTATGCAATAGAGATGGAGTGGGGTAGTTCCTAAGGCCTTTGGGGAACCCAGGGGGCAGGGGGCAGAGCATGGGATATCTCAGAGGGAGAGGGAGACGTCCTTGTGTGTTTGTGCCTGGACTAGGCCTCCCATGTTTTCCCCCATCCGAGTCACCTTACAGTATGCTCTACCTAATGACCCATGCATTTGTTTAACGAATGCATTGGGGAAAGCAGGGACAGGGAGGTGGTTAAGTATGCATTTCATTTAATGTAGTTCTTGATTTCCAATATGAATAGCCAGACTCTATTACTATTGTATGTTGAGGACTACCTGTATTTCAGTTAAATGCTAATACATTTTTATGCCTGCTTTCTTAACAATATAAGAGGAATTAAAGAAATACTCAAATGATTGGAAGAAAACAGATAGTTTCTGGACAATTCTCCATTCCTTTTGAAGTAACATTTTACAGCAGCACAAAGAATAACTTTGACTCAGAACTCACCTTAAAATTTCTTTCATTTTAGCAAATAAAATCAGATTTTTTTTCCAGGAAACAGGTTGTTCACAAAGGTAATTTATTGCTAAATTATTTTTATCTACAAAAACAAGCCAACAAATAAACAAGTTAAATTACTAATTTTAATTATTATCTTTCAATTGTGTGAGAGTATTATTTTATTACATAAAATGTATGTGCCACCTCTCTGCCTGTAAAATAATAGCATTGGAATAAATTTCATAAATGCCTCTCTGAGATTTTTTGTATGATTTTCCAAAGAGTTCAAAGCATGTAATATTTGTCTTCAGGGTTGTTTCACATCATTATGTAGTATCTGCTTATTGAGAAATCTAGTTAGACAAATTGGGACTGACATGTCACTGCCAGGGTTCATCAGGAAGAATGAATAAAGGGAACTGTTTTTAAATTTAATAGAGTAATATTTAAAATTAGAATCTTACATATTGGCTTCAATGCTGTATAGCAATGTAGCATTTCTTTTCCTGAATACTGTATTGGAGGAGAATATTCACCATATTCAATTAACTATGTAAGAGACCTGAAGCAAGAACATGGTTTAGTACCAGCCTGTAATACAAGGATTTGGATCTACCTTCAGGAGTTTCCATTTCATTTCACTAACCCAGGGGTCGGCAACCTAAAATGGTGAAAGAGCCACTTGGACCCGTTTCCCTCACAAAAAAAAAAACCTGGGAGCCGCAAAATGCGCGCGTGCGCGCGTGCGTGCATGCGCACACACGTAACGGGGCTTGATTCTAAATTGAGTGCACTGGCCAAAAAGCGAGGTAAAAATATGGTAAATGAATGCAACAGCACGAGATGAAAGCTCCGCTGTGATTTGTGTTCCCCCGTAACCATGGAGATAATGCCCCGACTCTTCTCTCCCATGGAATCGCCCCCACTCGCTTCACCCAATCAACAGTCCCTGCGCGACCCCTC